CTGCTACTGCTACTACCACTACACTACCACTACTACTACTACTACTACTACTACAACTACTACTACTACGACTACTCCTATTATTAATTATTACTATTATTATTACTACTACTACTACTACTACTACCACTACCACTACCACTACCACTACCACTACCACCACTACTACCCTTTCCCCCCCTGGCCCGACGCCTGTCGCCAGCCCCGTTATTGAATTACTATGGATGCTCTCTGTTCGGATGGCATCATCAGGTTTTGGACATGGTTGCTCTCTTTTCGGATGCACTAGACCATGGACGTCGGTCTGGGCGTCGCACCGGGGGGAACCGGTACTACTACTACTGCTGCTGCTACTGCTGCTGCTGCGACTACTACACTACTGCTACTACTACTACTACTACTACTACTACTACTACTAAGGGTTTCGGCTGAACCTTAGAGAGTGCAGAATCTTTTCCTCCCTCGGTGCTGACGGATGGTTCTTTCAATCGCGAGGGCTCTGGTACTCTTCTGCATCTTCCAACTTGAGATGAATACACTGTTTCAGCCGGATGGGTCCCAATTCCCATCCCCTCCTGGCTTGGATGCTCCTATTACTAGACGATCATTGGGGGGAAACCCGAGGGTTGGACCGACATCCACCGACGGTCCTGACACCTCTTCGGGGGTCAAATCAACTGGAACGGGGCACGCACAGGCCGCTTCCTTTAGCAACGCGCGCAAACGAGCGTATCGGCGAGCAAGACGCAGAGCCGAAATCGCAGGTGGAACTATATATAGAGGAGTCTGGAGAACGGCCAAGGAGCTGCAGACGATCTATCGGGGCTGCACCCGTCCAACGGAGCGTGTCGCTTTACCAACACACCGCACCAGGCCTGCGCCCAGACTGCGCGCTGCAACATACAACATAGGTGGTTAGTCCAGTGAGACATACGATGTCATTGCCAATGGCTTACGACACAACAAGACTTTGACTTGGTGACAGGAAACTCACTGGGGGCTGGGGAAGACTGATGGGAAATGGCGCGTCGGAACCTGGACGGTGATTGTCAGCCCAGACCCGAAGAGTCGCTACGCTGGCGTTGCCACTTTTGTGTCTCAGCGAATCGCGGAGGAATCCCAGATTGGCTACAACGCTTGTCTGCCAGGCAGGATACTGCACGTCCGCTGCGAAGGAGAGCGAACCAAGCTGGACCTTGTGAACTGCTATCAATGGGTATGGCAGGACAAACAGGCAGAGACGGTGCAGAAGAACAGATCTCTTTTCTGGAGCAAGTTGGGAGGTTTGCTGCACTCCCTACCAGTCAGGAACCTGCTTCTCTTGGGAGCTGACTTCAATAGTAAACTGCGGCCCATGGCAGGCCTGATTGGACGTGGTCTCATGAATAGCAGCCAGGGCAACGAGGTTGAACTGGAGGCTATCTTGCAAACACACAACCTGGTACTGGCCAATACGTGGTCAAGTTCAAGGCCTAGCAGGGCCCATACTTTCCGAAATGGCGCCACTATGAGCCAGCTGGACTTTCTGGCAACTCGACGGCTCACGGTGGATGCTGAGGCCAAGAAATCAGCACCTGTTTTACTTGATTTGGTACCTTGGCGTAAGGGACCTAAGCATAGACCTGTGAGTGGCTCTTTCAAGTGGGTAGCAGGATGGAGTTGTGCTAAGAAGAAACAGACGTCTCAAGCCTACTCTAAACAGGACCTTAGGGAAAACTTGGCGGCTAACACTGACAGGGCACAGGTGCTTCGGTCGTTTGTGCAGGAGGCCATAGCAGCCTCCAGCGACAGCTTGAGCTTTGCTGAGCTTAATCGCGCCGTGCTGAGTAAGTGTGTGGAGCTTTTCCCGGCCAAGAAGGTTGTATCAGACAAGCCAAGAGACACGCCGCAAGTTCAGCAAGCCATAGCCAACATGTGGCAGGCATATGAACAGCTCCGCACCCCGCTTCCTGCAGGGCAGTTTCAGCGCGCTTCTGCTGCAGTGTCCAGGCAGCTGCACTTCCAAAAGGCTAGTCGTGAGATGAAGCAACAAAGCAGACAAGCTAGGAAGCAATGGTTGTTGGACAAAATCATGCTTGCGGAACAAGCTGCGAAAATGAATGACTATGCGGAGTTGTATCGCATCATAAACAAGGTAGCCCCGAAGAAGCGCAGAGAACAGGTGCGTATCCGCAGCCTCGAAGGTGGACTTCTCACCAAACAACAGGAGTTCTCGGAGATCTTTGACTACTTCAGCGAAGCTTTCAAGTCAGAGAGTGCAGGTGTAGAAACGATGCCAAGCTGCATTGTGTTGTCTAAAGAAGAAGTTACGACAGCATTGTCACAGCTCAAGCGAGGGAAAGCTGTGCCTGCAGCTAGTGTGCCAGCAGAGGTCTGGCAGACCTGTCCTGATGAGTACGCCAATGCACTCTCGGGCTTGCTTGCAGCTCGTGCCCATCAAGGGCTTGCAGTGCCCAGTGAGATCTCAAACTGTGAGCTCTCGCTGTTGCCGAAACCCGGTAAGGATAGTCGTAGACCCCGTGACCTCCGCCCGCTTGGGTTACAAGATCCGAGTTCTAAGGTGTATGCCCTAGCAATTAGAGCCCGACTCATGGACACTATACAACCTGTCCTGGAAGGCGTCCCCCAATACGCTTATATTCCTGGGAAAAGTATAGATCAAGCAATAGCGAGGGTTGCCCGACATTGCAGTGCTGTCAGACAGAGGCTTCGAGAGGGTGCCAGCTCGGTGCATCAGAGGCGGCAGGGTCTTAAATCCGGGGTTTGCTATGGGGGAGTGATGATATCAATAGACTCGCGGCCCGCCCTTGCCTCGGCACTTGACATGGCCGGAGTCCCCCCAGCGTTGCGGGATGCCATTGTCTCCCTGCATAATGCATGCAAATATACTGTCAAACATCACGTGCATCGTGCCGACTTCCCCATGGAGATGGGAGTAAGACAAGGCTGCACATTGGCTCCAACGCTCTACAGCCTCTTTACAGCCCTGTTCTGGCGCCAGCTCGCGCAATGCACCACGCCGGAGTGGGCAGACCGATGTATCACCATGTTCGCCGATGATAAGCATATGTTCTGGTCCGTTGAATCGGTTGCTGAGTTGAACTTTGTGTGTCGATGTATCCAACAAACGTTCAGACTTCTGCAATCTTTTGGGATGCAGGTTAATTCTAGCAAATCCAGACTGGTCATTGCCTTACGCGGCAGTGCTGGCAAACGATGGCAGCGGAAGCACTTGGTGAAGACGACTACTGGCCCGGCCCTAGAGGTGGGAACCCCACATAGTCCTCTTCAGATCCCTGTGGTCCATAGCATGGTTTATTTGGGGGTTGTAGCATCGTATGGGAGCTTTGAGCTCCAGACCTTGCAACATCGGCAACAGGCTGCGGCCCAGAATCCTCATCGCCTGCCGAAATTTTTGCACGGCAAGATGCTTTCTCTGCAAGAGCGTGTCCGCCTATACAATGCATGTGTGGGTAGTGCTCTGCTGTACGGGTTGCATGTAGTAGGGCTGACCGAACTACAGCCAGAACACTTGAGTCCTCGGATATGCGATCTCTACGTGCCATAGCAAAATCGCCGGTGCATCTCTCCAGAGAAAGCAACACCGCGCTGCGACGGCGCCTGCACATAGCATCGGCTGTCGAATCGGTACAGCGGAGAGCGCAGCGTAAAGTTGCCATGGCCGCCACTGACTCTGAGTGGTATGCCGGTCTGCATGCGAGCCTGGAAGAGATCATGAAGTACGTCGATGCGCCAGAACCAGTGCATCTGTCACGAGACCTATTTCCGGGGGTTCCATGTCCTGAATGTGGGTTGTATCTCACCAATCACAGGCATATGCTGTCACACCGGGCTCGCAAGCATGGCTACAGAGCCGAACGGTCGGTGAAGAGTATGGGCACCAGCCACGTGCAACATTCGGTTGACGGCATGCCACACTGTAAACATTGCAACAAAACTTTCACTAGGGTTGAGGGCTTCAAGAAACACCTTAAAGGGGCGTGTCCAGTTCTGTTTGGATCCAAAGCTGGTTTGCGCAGGGAGTCTGCCACTAGCTGCTGTGGCAGTCCAGGTAGCTCCACAGCAGGAGGGGCTGCGAATGGGGTCCGCGGACCGGGCCCCTCAGACAAACTCCTCAGGGTGCTTAGTGGATAATGCCGAGTTCCAGGCACTCTCGTGCAAAGGCTGGAAGACTGTGCTCAGGGATCCCAAATACAAAAAGAACTTGGGCACATATTGCGTGTTCTGTGGGCAGTGGTGTGCGCCTGCATGGCTTCAAACAGCATATACGGTTGATGCATAAGCACCTGGCTGTACTGCATCAGCAAGCTCTTGATCGTTGCACATCTCTTGGGTTGCCAGCTCAAAGCCCTTGTGGCTTTTGCGGGGTATCCCATCGCCAGCCTCGCAGACACCTCGCCAGTTGCTCAGCAGTTTATCAAGCCTCTCTTGCCTCTTGCCAATCTATACATCGTACAGCAGTCCCATCCTGCTCAGGCCTGCTCCAATGACGGAGGACTACGCAGCGGTGGCAAGGAAGGATGCAGCAACGGTGTTTGGGGAGGACGAGGACAAGGATATGCCCCAGCAGGAGAAGTCCACGGAGCAGGAGGACCCTTGGCAGGACCGGTGGCCAGTATGGAGGCAAGGGAAGCTGGTCTTCATGGTCCCAGAATCCCAAGCGCAAGCATGCGGAGCCGGAGGAGTCTCAAGGGGGCACCGGGGAGTTGGACCAGGCCACCAAGGAACTCATCGGTGCGATGACGCGGATGAGCCTCAGGCACGAAGCAGAACTGGCCCGGTTGAAACAAGACACCGGGTTTATGCTGTTTATAGACACAGCAGACTACAGCTGCTTAGCGAAGCTTCGTGCGGCGGGGGACAAGTGGCAAGAACAGTATGCCAACCAGCAGGTCACCACGTCGTTGAAGGTGGTCTTGATGTCGGGCCTCTGCCAGATGCTACGCCGCAAGGTGGAGGAACTACAGAAAGACGAGGAGACCCTAACGAAGCTCATGACGGTGGGATGGCTGTCGGAAGGTCGCAATGCCTTGGACCCGGTATTTCACGATTACGAGTGGAACCCATCCGAGAAGAAGGAGGTTCGCTCCAATGTGCCTCCCATTCCACTGACGCAGGTTCTGGGCATGCTGGACACCCTCGAGCAGAACCTCACGGTGCCGGGAGTTTTGACACAGTTCAAGTCCACCCGACAGTGGAGCGAGTCCCATCGCTCGGAGGTGATGCCATTTCAGGTATCCCTAAGCCTTCGCCACGAGGAAGCCCATCGCTGCCATCGATGCTTTGTTCGCCTGTCCGGGAACTCGGCAATGAAATTGCTGGGAACAAGACTTCGGCCGGAGAGAGGACAGCGCAGCAACCTAGCCAAGGAGCTGGAGGACGCATGTCGTGCTACCAGCTATTGCAACTGGGGGCCAAGACGCGAATGGCAGAAGCCGAAGTCCACCTCGAAGGCAGCAACGGAGGGCGAGAAGCCATCGACCTAGGTCGGTCGGTGGCTGGCATGCCTAGGTCGGCATGCCGAACGGGGGGTCTTAGGGTCTTAGGGTTTAGGGTGTAGGGTGTAGGGTGTAGGGTTTAGGGTTTAGGGTTTAGGGTCTGTTTATCCATTCAGGAGACTTGGCAACGAAGTCAGTTCTTAAGTCTTAAGTATCTGCATATGATATTACATAATATAGGGGCTGAAACAATTAGAATAGGCTTTTGGGGCCCACGATACTGTAATGATGATAAGGAACCCCCCCAGAATAGTATAGGTACTTATTAGGTTAAGGCCCCTATATTACATACCTCACTTGCCAAGTTTCCAAGTCCACTCATCCTTCGAGTAAAGCTGCCCAGGCTCCGTTATGTCCTTATACCTCCAGCTAAGCACAGGAGCATTGATGACTGCTCCTGCTCTTGCTGGTGGTCTCGCATCTAGTGTAGGGGCCTGAATAATTGCCTGTACTATTTTGGGGGCTCCTTATTCTAATTGTATTGTAAGGGGCCCCAAAACCCGATTCTAATTATTAAGGCTAAGCCCTAGACCCTTTTAAGAGCCCTTTAAAGGAACCCTATTCTAATTAAGGCCCCTACTTTATCCCTCATCAAACTCCAGTCTCGTGCTCCATAGGCCTCAAGATTAGTGTGTCGGGCCTCAACAGCCAGATGGACCTGGACCCTGAAACACCTAGCTTTTAAGGAGTCATAATAATGTAGGGGCCTTAATAACTAGAATAGGGTTTTCTCCTTATTATAATTATAATACACTATACCCCCCCATACCCTGTTCTAATTATTAAGGCCCCTATACTACCCGGAGAACGCAGGTTATGCAGGGTTGAGGTCGGGTCTCCAAGCTTTCCCGGAGTTGGCGGACGTTCGCGGTTTAGGGTTTAGGGTTGGTTTCGTCGGAGAGCCTCGAACATCCAGCCAGGAAGCGCCAAAGGAGGAAGAGCTCGAAGTCATCCCGGTGCGCCTGGCCCAATGCTCTAAACCCTAAAACCCTAAACCCTAAAACCCTAAAACCCTAAAACCCTAAACCCAAAACCCTGAACCCTAAACCCTGAACCCTTTGAGCGGTTTTGACAGGGGCCGAGACGATGGTTTCGAGAGTCCCAGTTCCTGCTGAGAGTTGTTTGTGGGGAGGGGTGGTCTTCCCCGTAACACCTGAAATCCTAAAGCCCTAAACCCAAAACCCTAAACCCCAAACCCTAAAACCTGAGGGGTACTTAGAAATGCTTTTTAATCTTTGGCTATTATAAACCCTAAGAAGCAGCTAAAATTATAATTTTTGCTAGGGGTCTAAGTTCAGTATAGAAACCCCTAAAGTCCTAAACCCAAACACTAAACCCAAAACCCAAAGCCCTAAACCCAAAACCCAAAACCAAAAACCCTAAGCCACAAAACCCAAACCCCAAACCCCTAAAACCCCAAACCCAAAACCCAAACCCCAAAACCCCTAAACCCTAACACCCAAAACCCGAAACCCTAAAGCCAAGACCCAAAACCTGTCTTTCAGCGGCCTTGGATCTCCGCTTCGTTGCTTCTCGAAGGCTAAGGCATCCATGGTTCGAGGGGTTTAGGGATTTAGGGTTTAGGGGTTTAGGGTTTCAGGGTTTAGGGATTTAGGGTTTCAGGGTTTAGGGATTTAGGGTTTAGTAATTTAGGGATTTAGGGTTTAGGGCTTTAGGGTTTAGGGGTTTTAGGGTCTAGGGATTTAGGGTTTAGTAATTTAGGGATTTAGGGGTTTTATGGATTTAGGGTTTAGGGGTTTTAGGGTTTAGAGTGTAGGGTTTAGTAATTTAGGGATTTAGGGTTTAGGGTAACCTTTCCGGAACGAAGGAAGCCTTGGTTAGAAGCCGCCACAAGAGCCCCGAGAGGCCCTTGTAGCTTAAGGTAAGGGGGGTTTAGGGCTTAGGGTTTAGGGTTTAGGGTTTAGGGTTTAGGGTTTAGGGTTTAGGGTTTGCGGAATATGGGGGCCTTTGCAATTGCCAATACTATTTTGGGGTT